TTCTTATCTATAGACTATGGTACGTTAGTTAAAAAATAAACAAACTGACCATCGAGTTTGAACCCTCGTAGATCTCAAATTCGAGATAAGTTGCCACCTATCGCTTCATCGCCACTAATTCTTAATAGACAAATTGTTTCGACTTTTGATTACACAAATAAATTATTATTTGTCCAACAGGACATGTTTAAAATAACACAAACCGTGTTATGTTTTTTTGGAAATAATAATAATTAACCTAATAAAACTTTCCACATACAATATACAATCACATCATCGGTGCAGTGATCATTTTAGTAGCATTACCTGGTAGCAGCAGAGCTTGTTCATCCAGGGAAGTACTGGCACCTTATCTATTTCTGCCGCTAACCAGTAATGTGACCATTACTGCGTCCAGGTTTCGAAGGGCAAAGGTGCTGGTGAAATTACAGGCATGGGATTTGTCAACTCATGTCTCAACGTGATGGGTACAGTGGCAATGGCCCTCAGATCCTAGCGATTTAAAGCTCTGACACAGCAACTGATATGGACAAGGATACCACCAGGAGCACGACGTGAGTGAGTCATGAAAAAATAAATTTCTTCCGTCGCCGAACGGTGACCATGCTGGTCTGCCACGCAGATTTGTATGGCCTACATTTATTTCTCTCGTGAGTTTAGGTGTATTTTGAGGTTGTCCGTGTGTATCCATGGCGCCCACGATACACGGCTTCTCTAGTGCGGGGCTATGAGTGTGTAAAGAAAAAAAAAACCGATATTACAAAGGTAGGGGAAAAATGACGTGTGGTCTACGAGCATTGACTTACAAATAAATGGACGACGGGTCTAATACAAAAACCACGAAAAAAATGTCCCAAGTCAACCTATTCGAAATTTAAATTGTAATGTCATTGCAGTATCGCGCTGTCAGTAGAACAAATGAAGACTAAAGCGGAGTGTCGCGCTCTGTATACGATTTTAGCGCCTTACAAGTGCGGACACTTTTTAACGCGGACCCGACGTCCATATAATTGTAAGTCAATGTCTACGAGATAAAAAGTTTGGGAAGTCTGCTATAAAACATTTTAAACTCTTTCTCTTTAAAGGAGACCCGTACCCAGTGAGATGATTACAGGTTGTATTTATAGAATTAAATATTTCTTTTCATCATTATGTACCTATTATATCGCACGTTCAAATCAATGCTGTCATTAAACAAAAAAATCAACTTCTGTGATGTGATCACTTATGTTTCTAAAAATGGGTTTTAATTTTTTTATGATATCAAGCGACGGGACGAACAAGTTGTGCGCCTGATGTTAAGCGACACATCTGTCCATAGCAGTTGCAGTGTCACTCAGAGACTTGAAGCACCCTTACTCTTCAAAACCGAAACGCAGTAACGCTCACAGAAATAGGTAAGGTGGCAATACTTCCCTGGACGAACCCTAATGCTTAGGCTACACCGCGAACGAAGCTAAGTTAGCTGCGAGAGGCCCTTGAAATTAAAAAACATTCTAATTTCAACAGGGAAGATGGTTTCTCCATACCACCAGTTTGGCATCCAGTATTTCCTCTAATGAAAAATCCCAAACTGCAGTACTAATTAATATGTTTTAGTTCATTCTAATTTCTATTATTAATTAATAATAAATTGAACTTAATAAAAATTCATTCAACAAAATAATTTGTAAAACTTAATGTAGCGTAAATTGGAATGTTTTTTTTGTAAAATTAAAAATAAGGTATTTAATTAATAACTATTGTAACTATACTGAAAAAATAGGGTGGTTTGCATCAATATTAGACATAACTGGTTGAAGACTGTACCACCTCAGTCAACCGTGACCATGGGACCTGTAAAGGGCCCGAAACGTCGGTTTGTTTGAAAAAACAAATATACGCCATTTAAATCCGGAAAAATAGTTTCATTTCCTATAAGTTAGCTTACTTACTACTTCGGTTCACACCCCCAACTAAGCTAACCGAGCTAACTAAACTAACCCAACGATCCCGCTGAGCTACGTAAAATATGTCGCCCGCCTGCCTCCTGCCTTCACATCAGCAAGCATCTCCACCACTTAGGTACTAACTACTACTTACTACGTTTTTTTAGCTTAGTTTTGCATGCAACTACGTGAACTAAGCTAAGTTTGTAGCTTCGCTCAGAATTAAAAAAATTAATAACGCGACATTTTCGTTTAGTGTCGGTATATGTGGCAGCATGGGTCATCTGGCTTTTTAAAGTATTAAATGCTTCACCAAAAAATAAATGAATTCGGCTCCTTATCTGCCGTCCACTAACTAAAACTCGGCTAAGGGAGAAATGGTCAAACGTCTATTTTAAATAGCAAAAGATAGAGCACAAAACACAGTTAAAGTTATTACGGGACTTATCGGAACTTAACATATCGATGCGTAGCTGAAATGTATTTGAATAATTTCAATATTCAAAACTGGGTTATTGTTTTTTATGACATCTCAAAAAAATATTTTGTCTCTTAGGCGGTTACAGGTAATCGACCTTTACGGTCGGCATCATAAAAAACGGAATGTTTTTTTCACATTTTCTTTAAAAAATAGATATATAAATAATCTCCATCAAGCATAATATCCTATCTGCAATATATAGAGTACTGCATTCCCTCCGTGCCGATAGCCGTGGGACAGCCTGTATACTTGTACCAAATTAGATATTCGTTACCTTATGGCAATACTAACTTACCTACAAGTACCTACATAAAATAATTCTCTCGAATTGTAGCATTTTTTTCGCATGCAATTTGTTATAAGTCCGTTTAATAAAGCAGACTTATTCCGACATGTTGGATTTTAATTCAAAGACAAATAGAGTCATCATCGTTTGTATCAATTTGCATTGACAGGGTTCTAATTAACACGGAAGTTTCAAAATGGCTCCCGTAAAGACATAGGTCTAATGTATCTCCCGCGAAAGGATATCAGAAAATTTAAATTATTGAAGATAAATTGTAATTAGATACCTTAGCCTGTCTGGAAGGACGAAAAATGTTATACTAAATATTAATTAAAACGACCTTATATGGGTAGGTACATGATGAGATTTCAAGGAATTGTTAAAAGTAGCGCCCTTTATTCGTTTCGTGGATATATTCTGTTGCTCTCATTGAACGAATTTGTAAATCTGGTATGCGGGTTCTGTGTTACCATAATAATAATAATTAAGTAGTTATTAAGCTTGCTATTATTTAAGATAAAGGTCAATAAGTAGGAATTGTTGTTTACACTTTGCATTAGGTACAACCCATAGATATAGAAAAAATATCTATGGTAGGTACAACCTGTAATGATAATTTGTAAGTGGGAAATGAATAAATAAAATAAAAGTTTATATTTTCCGTCAATATGAAAGTGTTTTCATATTAACTAATTATTAAATATAAGCAAATAATAAGAATTACTTTCTATATTTAAGTTTTAAAAACTATAAATAAAATTTTGAAATAATTTACCGAAAATGAGCATCTAACTTTAACTTCGTTTAAAAATGACAGAGGTCAAAAGCCATACTGCCTCGTCTTGTCTTTAGTAAAATAATTTTCTTTTGTTTTCATCTTTTGTGGTCTTTTAATTTCAAATAATTAAAAAAAAACTTATTTAATATTAGAACAAAACAAAATAATTTCGATATGTAATATTAGAATGACGGTAAGCAATACCGTAGGTATCGCATATTCATATGTGTTTCAAATATATCCTATACCGGACCATGAGTTAAGTACTGGGATTTTTGAACATTTCATTTAGTATTAAACAAATCCATAAAATCACATTTATTTAATTTAAAAAAAAATATTCTTAAGTTATATTACTAAAGGTATTAATTACTGTTACCCAGTTGTTAAAAATAGGATCATAATCGTTCAAGAATGTAGGTACAAAGAATTTGTATGTGTATTTTTTTAAAACAACATTATTTTTATTTAAATAATAATCTATTGACCTATGCAAGAGTTTCAAAACGGCCACCGTAAAGATTCCTACCTATAACGATTTTCTGCGCAGAATATTAAACTAGGTATAGAAGAAAAATTACAACCTACCTAAGATCTGGCAGTAAGTATATGGCCAATTAGACGCGTTAGCTTGTTCCGAAGGACGAAAAATTGTACATTATGTAACAGATGTACCTATAAAGTTTTCGAATTAAGCCAGAATACCAAATTGGTTTTTTTATGAGACCAATGTGACGGGACGAACAAGTCGCTGACGACGACGGACGAAGTGACACACCTGTTCAATAAATACATTTTTTATAACTGTAGGTGATTACTGCAATGCCTATGCATTGTGTTTTTTTTAATTCTACAAAATACAAATATCTCTACCTACTTACTCAATTAATTAAAATAAGTACTAAAGCACAATAGTAACATATGAATAACATAATAATACAAACTATAGGTAAGTTTAATTAATTATGTTGCAGTTACGATTGAGTAGAGTAAATTTTATAACCAAATCACATTTCTAAAACAAAAATCAATCACCGCTGATTGGAATACATAACAATTTTAATTAAAAAATCAAACTATTTACCAAACACAGTTTAGTTTGTAATACCGGAAAATTTGCGTGAAATTCAAACCTTATCGTGTTTCATTAAAATTTAATTCAACAACATAAGAAACAATCTTACAGCCACGAGCTACCATTATTTTATTTAACGATAACGACAATTACAAGAGCAATCCGCCATATTCTTCAGAATCAATTATTTTTAAGGGTGGAAATCGCTGAAAGTGCTCATTTATCTCGCGACATTAAAGCTAATAAACCATCCGAGTTAATTAAAAAGTATTACTCCGTGTTTGAAGCTTGAACGTAGCAGACGGCCGCCGAGAGCGACATCCAAAAACGAGCAAACCGAGTGCGCTAAACCTACCCAATAGGTGCCTTAATTGAATCACAACCAGCAAAATCGAAAAGTAGCGTCAACACCGCTACAATCCACAAATCTGACGTAGCACGCCAAATGCCCGGTTAAAACGCAAGTTCGTAACTCAAACCGCCCACTGGGAAAGCGTTCGAAATTCAAACACAGCCTCCCTAAGCGCATCCACCAATGGCGTATCTTCTAAGCAAATAAAGAGTTCAAATTAAGACTCTGTCACCACCCATTGGCCGTTTTCAACCAATCAGCAAGCAGGCTTCCATGTTCGTTATTTTTTTCCTGCTCCGTAAGCGTCGTGTGCTAGTAGAGGGCTCATTCGGCCGCGCGCCGCCTTGGCGTACGTATCGCGCGCTCGCGTCATGATGGATTGTGTTCTGTGTGACTTGTGCATCTGATTTGGTGTATTTTTGTGCCGGACCTGTTGTGTGCTAAAGCATGATGCCTCTCGCACCGACCCCTGTGGTGGCGGTGCCATCGAAGCCGAAGATCGGATTTAGTATAGACAGTATAGTTGGTGGTTCTGAAAGGCCAAAGCACCCGTCTCCACCACTGGCGAGTCCTGGGTCACCATCTCCCGTAGCATCTCCTCGTAGTCCGTCTCCAAGGCCACTATTGCGGCCCAGTGCGCTACCTGCTGTGTTTCCTTCACCGGAGTTGAAGAGATTGCCGTATTTAGATGCTCAGAGCCACCACCACCAATTCCTGGCGCACTTCCAGGGGGCGGCATTGGCGGCGGCGCTAGCGCACCAACAGCAGGGATTCGGCGCGCCGCTGCCGCCACACCCGCCGCCCCATCCTGCTGCACCTGTTCCACGTGAATCCTACCAGCTCTACCCTTGGCTCATTAACAGACACGGAAGGATATTTCCACATAGGTTTCCTGGAGGTAAGTTACTAATTTAATAGAATACAACTTAGGTTTACAGAAATGGTAAAATGAGGTTATATTCAATATTCAGGCTCATTGACAGACTTACTAGCCGGTTTAAGTATTAACTGTGAAGTGTTGTGATAAGTTTGATTACGTTGCCGGAAAGCTTGACAAATGAGAAATTGCGAAATGGTTAATTTGGCTGCTAATTATATACTTATAAGATAGCATTCGTGACATTGAACAACAATAGTGTAATCTTATAATTTGTTATTTTAATACTTATTATGAATTGAGGTCAAAATTCCTAAAGAGATTTCAGTCGATCTCTTGGTACCTGCATAAGACGCGCCGGCGTGCTGGTCAGTGCATCACCTTAAAAAGTGACTTACGTGTTTTTTTTACATTTGTCCATAATTTTGATTGTAAAATTGTACAAAAAAGCTATGCAAGATAAATGTACATAAAACTTTTTATTCCAAAGGTTCTTGATTTTTGACCATTGTGACAGATTTTTTTGGATATTTTAGTTTCTCCTAGCAGTTATTTATTACAGTTGTAACTATGGTTGATGAGATAAATTAAAAAACACGGCGAGCCGAACTTGGCATATCTCTTAGCAACGTGATTGTATTTGTATTATATATAAATAAATGAATAAACACAAAAGAAAAAAAAAAATAAAACTTATTTACAATAAAAATATTTATACTTTCCTTGCGATGACACAGTTAAGTGTTTTCTCGCAGGAAATAGAAGCTTATCTTAAAACAAGACATTAAGATAAAAAAGATATACAAACTCTTTAGTTTAAATACCCGTTATCTCGGCACACTTTGTACCCGTCAATTTTTAAAAAAAGATATAAAAAAAAAGTAAAAAGATTACCCGCGTAATCCGTTCGCGGCAATTTGAAAAATGTTTCGAATTCTAATCTGCTTTTGTTTAATCCCATTGTTTTGTAGATAGCGGTTTTTCGGATAGGTACACTAATTTCTTTTTAAGGATTAAAAATTTTAAGAAGTTTGTTTATTTCATTGTATTTACTGGTTTTAAGCTTTTAAAATGTTCCGTTGAAGATTTAAGTAGTTTGTTTTACGGTTATAATATTCAAAAAGATTTTTAACTCTTTAAAATTCCTGTGACTGTTAAACGGCCTGTCATTTTCGCGGTCAACTTTCTATTATAATCTAAACACTAGGTTGTAGACTAGATACTTCCAGCATTACGACACAATACGTACGAAGTTTTTCGCTTCTTTCTTCTAGCTAGATTGCTAATATGTGCCCTGATGAATATAACACGACCTTTTCGTGACGAGATTGAAAAGGTCACTTAATTCATAGACAGTGGTAAACTGCTTGCCTATGTAAAAGAAACTTTTCGATATTGTTGAACTGTATACAATCCTTATTTATTAACTGTGACCATGGGATCTGTTAAGAGACCGAAACGTTGTTTTGTTTGAAAAAACATATATAGATTATGCGATTTAGACAACAGTTTAATTTCCCACTAATATTATATGTACCCATAAACTTACACACTCTAACTTTTGTCATAAATAATATTACCCTGTTGTGCCTTGAAACTTTCTATGCATCGAAAGTCAACGTCAAATAATCTTTATTAAGTAAGCAAATTACACTTGAAAATTAAACTCTATTGCTCATTCGTAAGGCAGATTCTCCAGAGAAGAATGAGCAAGAAACTCTAGGGGTTGCTCTTTGTAAATATTTTGTAAATATTAGAATGCACTTATCATTACAATGTTTAATTTAAACATTAGATTGAGACTGCTTGCAAGAGCTAAACGGGTTATCCTAATACGCAGAAGCTGTATATAATATCTAGATTATTTAGCACCGGCTTTTGTCCTTCAAGTTACAAGATGTATTCACCGGAGTGACGTAAACAGATCGTTTCGCCGGTGCCATGCGCGTCTGGTGGAAAGCGACATGTCAATTCGTAGCAGTTGTGGTGCCACTGCGTCTGTCACCCTGAGACACAAGTTGACAAATCCCATGTGCCTGTAATTCTACCAGCACAACTCACACCACAACTGCTTGGCGGCAGAAATAGGTACGTAAGGTGGAAGTACCTACTACCCTGGACTCATCCTTCCTGAATTCTTCAACATGGAGCTCTAATGCTACTAAAGTATAAACTGCCTTCCGCAATTTTATTTTGCAAGGCTGTGACCACGAAAATACTTCGAGAAGTCACGTTTGTATTCGATTCTCGATTATGGTCTAGGTACCACGCCAGGCTAAAGTGGACTTTATATGTTTTTTATGAGTGTTTAATCTTCTACGTTAATTATCATCACGCTTTTTGATAAATTAGTAATATAACATAGATAGTATAAGAAACTTAAAGAGTTATGCAGATTCCTACAGAGGCTATTTTATGGCAGACAGGCGATCGTCTGACTATGCTACCTTAATTTTGTTATAATACACACACCACCATTAGTTCTTAGATAACAGAATTTAAATATTACAGTAAGAGAAATGGGTTTGTCACAGATGGCGCTACGGCTAAAAAGTCGTGAAATAAAGATTTGCAACAAGCACATGAAAAATTCGTAAGGTCCGCTAGTTCTTTCCGTGGCTTAGTTGGCACAGCGTCTAGCACGGTTTGCTGGAAGACGTTAGTTTGAATCTCTCCGGATCGAAGAAATTTTTTCTTAGTGTTCGATATTGCAGTAGAGCTCCTTAGGAAAGAGTTCGTCTAAGGTGGTACTGCCACCTTACCTATTTCTGCCGCCAAGCAGTAATATCAACATTACTGTATTCCGGTTTTGAAGGGTAAAGGTGCTGGTGAGATTACAGGCACAAGGGACTTGTCAACTATGTCTCAGTGGTAGTGCCCCTCAGATCTTGAAAAGAAACGTAAAAGAATCTTTAACCTTAGTTAAACGAAATCGTGGTACCATGAGTTTGGACTTAGTTCTAAGGTTTATATTATGGATATCTTCTTTCTTAATGAAATGATGTATATTTTTACATAAATAGTAAATGTACTGTGATGCCACAGTCATGATACCAGTCTCCTTAAACTTTTCACTGAGAGAGAAACCCGAGAACCTATACACACACCCACAACGAATCGCTCGTTTTTGCAACACAAATATGGTTTGTATATCTGCCGCTTTACCCCACATGAGAATCCCAGAATCAGAGCAACGTATATTTTGTTGTCTAATATATATTTATTATTATTTTTTATGATAGGTCTGGTGGTAAGCGAAACGCCTGTCCATACCAGAACGTTTATTAATTTAAGACACTGCAAAGTACTATGGAAAAAGAACTAAACGCTCAATGTAATTCATAATTAATTTATTCATTGTGTCATGTATTTGTGTGTTACATTAAAAGATTCCAGCATATGAGCACTGTAATGGCTCTACAATGACTAACTTAGCAAATGAATAATGCTATGCCATTAATTATTTACAATTAATTATTACATAACAATATTAGAAGTAATATAAAAATAGGAAATGAAACTATTTTTTTGCCGATCCAAATCAAAATGCTTTTATTTTAACAATATACATTTTTTTAATAAAAAAGAAAACGATTTTATAAAACACATGTAATATTGTAACTTTCTTTGAAAAATTTTGAAATAACTTATTTAATTAATAACTTTTGTAACAATAGTTAAAAATAGGGTGGTTTACTAACATTAGTCATAAATAAAATCATAAATACGGTTAGTAAAAACGTTAAAACAGTGTATTAATAAATATTAAATAAATAACGCACACGCTCATAGCCCCGCACTAGGGAAACCCTGTATCGCGGGTGCCATGGACACACACATAGACAACTACAAATTACACCCAAACTCACGAGAGAAATAAATGTAGGCCATACAAATATTTCTCCCGGCCTGAGATTCGAACCCGGGATCTCTGCGTGGCAGATTAGCATAGGTAACCGTAACACAGACGCAGTTGAGTAATACAAAAATTAATACATACAATAAACTATCAGTTAGTGTATCTAACTTGGAAATGGCTTCATTCAAGCAAAAACTAAAACTTTACTTTAAAAATTACGTTTTTTTGAATCAACGAAAATATGTATTCAAATGTAAATAAAAATTTATCTCCTTAAAAAATCATGATGGACTCTGTATTATTATTGTTATACGTGTATAATTTAAGTTTGTATTTCCTGTAATTTGACTTACCTGTAGGCAATGTACTGTATTGTGTAGGTGAACAAATATTTCGACTTTGACAAAACGTACCAATAACTGATACCGGCTGTTTGTGCCATTGCCACTTCTCAATTCAAAATATATCTTTTGATGATAAGGTTTAGAATTTAAAATAGCTTCCTAACTGAAATTGAAATAGTTTATATTAGTTCACAGACCATATGAAGTGGACAATAAGTAATAAGACCGTAAAAAGTGGAAATCATGCTTTTTTTTTATAATGTCAAGTGCTGGGACGGAAAAATCGTGCGCCTGATGGTAAACTACACGTCTGTCCATAACAGTTACAGTACGACTCAGAGCTTTAAATCGCAAAGATGGTACTGCCACTGCGCGCGTCACCCTGAGACATAAGTTGACAAGTCTCATGTGCCTGTAATTTCACCAGCACCCGTACCCTTCAAAACCGGAACACAGTAATGCTGACATTACTGCTTGGCGGCAGAAATAGGCAAGGCGACAGTGCTTCCCTGGACGAACTCTTTCATAAGAAGTTCTACTGCTACTAAACATAGATATATTATTAGCGTAGCATTATATTATTATTATTATTAGCTTAATGAAAACCAACTTTTATAAATTGGTCCGGTCTGGGTGTTTGTGGTACCGTCGTCGTTTCCGATTTCCATAATACAAGTACTTTAGTTACTTACTTTGGGAATAGAGCAAAGTATGTTATGTTGTCTAATATTGATGTTTACATTTTTCTCTAAACAAAAACTGTTGCAAAAGGAAAGTTACAGAGTAATTGCGAGAGCTACGTTATTGATGAGACTGAG